CCCCCCCCCCCAACAAAAAAAAAACAAGCAAATAGATGGTGTGTTGCCTCTTACTATTTCACTGCTATGCAAACCATGACGGCGCAGTCACACCCCCCAAAAAAAAAAGGGAGCATCAAGCAAATAGATGGTGTGTTGCCTCTTACTATTTCACTGCTATGCAAACCATGACGGCGCAGTAGGAAAATGTTGGTCTAAAATAAAGCAGAGTAAACTGTTAGGGCAGGTGAATCTGTGGGGTGGGAGGTCTGATGGGGTGAAACACCTGGGACCGGGGGCTGCCAGGCAGTGTCTGCGCCGATCTCCTGCCTTTGGGTCAGCTGGTCAGCATAAAATATTTATGGCTATTTGATATCTGCATTGTTTGTAGAGTTCATGTACAGGGTTTCATCTGAGCAATCTGACTTGTTTCACTTTTCTTTGTGTGTGCCAGTCCTGATATTGCAACCTTTCTGGCTGGGTAACTCTCGGATGTGAAATTATTCTGCAAATGCCAATGTTTGAGTTAAAACTCTTTTCTGTAAAAAGTGTGCGGTATTCCCCCAAGCAGCGATATGTCTGTGATCAGCTCTTCTGGCAAACCCGTTTGCTACAGGATCTGTAAAGTGAGTGCAAAAGGGCAAAAGAAAGGCGGGCAAAGCATAGCTGAGATTTTTTTTTTTCCCATGCATCAGTAAGAATTATTTTATATAGTAGCCTAGCTTTAAATTCACTACAGTTTATTTAAATATAGTGGTATGCAAAGTAATGATGGATATTTTAATGAGTAGCTCTATCACAAAGATGTTTTTGAAATGGTGAGAAGAAATTAGAAACCCTTTTTTGGAAATGAAATATAAATTACTGTAAGTGTGATGGACTGTCATCACGCAGTCTATTTCAGTCAGGTCAGTGCCCCACTTAGTCTCTAGTTCCGGGGAACCCAAAATTGTAAAATGACATGAAACACATCTGAAATATGCATCCTCTCATAGATGTTACGAAGTATGACAGTATGCATGGGTCAGGCAGTGCCAGTCGGCTGCACAGTTAACAACTTTTCTGTCTTTGAAGGAAAAATGGTACAGTTCGTATTTTTTTTTTTAATCACTATTTCACATTTTTCTGACGGTGCGCTGGAGTCAACCCAACATTGCCTTCTGTACGTTTTCATCTGGAAAATATGTTGCATATCCACATCCTGTTCCATACTCATGCCGATATTTTTAACACATAACTAAGGGTCGGGTATTCGCAGAGGAGTTCCCAGCAGATGCCAGGTTGTTACCCCGTGTCCTGGAAAAAATCTGTGCCAAGTCCTGTGGTGTGGACACTCATCAAGAAGACACTCCCCGGTAGCTCATTTTAAACGTAGACACTGTCTGTAATGGAAAGACCAGAAATGTGGCACCTTTTCACCAGAGCTGCAGAGAGTCCAGGCAGCGTGGCAGGCAGGGGGACAAGCCATCCTCTTAACGGACGGGCTTTCCAAAGTCCGGGTTGGTGAAGGATGTCAACACCGTACATTTTCTTTCCTCCTTGTATCTTAAAGTCTTTCCCCTTGCAGTCCTGAGTCAGGTCCCCTAGCCTGGGCTCCTGCGTCCCTGTACGACCCACCTCGTGTTGGGCCGTGGTTCAGCATACGGTCTCCGAAGACCATGTTGTGTTTGAGGTGAGTTAAGTGACTTTGTTGTCAACCGGTAGGACTGAAGATGGGGAGCGTTTGGTTTTATTCTCAACCAGAGCCTTAGCTACCCTCGAGGAGTCTCTGTCTTGGTGCTCTTATTTGATGGGAGGGAGGTGACACTGCTTACCTCCCAGGGATGCAGTGAGACTAAACATCGTGTCAGTAATGCTTTTGAGGTCAGTTGTGTAAATGTGTATCTAATGCTGGCAGTGCCAGGGCTTTTCTCTGAGTATCTGATAACAAACAGTGATTCTACCACCCGCAAAATATTGGAGCCGCTCACAAACATACGCTTCCAGGCTCTCCCTGTGGGGAGCAAAATTTGGGTTCTTTGCCATCAGGTGTTCATGTTCTTCAGTATCATAAACCCTGCCTTTACTTTCCACTAAATGCTTCCCAAAAGCTATTAAGTCACTGAGATCTGTATGTTACCACATGCTACTTGTTTCTTTTATTTTTTTTATGAATGGGATATTTTTTATCTGAATCAATAAAATAGGTATCTACTACAATACAAGAAATCTCCACAGCAGGTCCTGGAATACAGAGAAATTAAATATGCTTCTTGTAAATCTCTCCTTCTCTTGTAGAACCAAATTATAAATTAAATAAATAAGAAAACCATAAATACACATTTCAAGATACACCAATTATTAGGTAGAAACATTAATCATCTCTTCACCTCCCTCCTCATACTGCTTAAAGCTATTAATTAACAAATGAAATACTACAATACAGCTTTCTCAACAGACAAATCTCTTGCTGCCCTGGACTGTGTGTTGGGCGCTCTATGGGTTGTGTTAGCTACAAGGGCAGGTACCACAAATGCTCACTGTCTTAATTACCCCAAATGCAGAAAAAGGACTTTTCCCAGTGTCTGTCCATCTTCTTTATTTTTGCTTTGCTTAGGGAATGAGACCAAAAAAGGGAACTGGTGATTACTATACTCCCTACTCCTTGAGTTGTATGCATTGCTGTGCAAGAGAGTAGTCCCACTGAATTTACTAGGTTTACCTTCTGGCAGGATTTCTATGGGCTAGGGAGGGGGGTGTAGTGTGGTTGGTGATATTTGTAAAAGATGTTTCAGGAAAATCTTGGCCATGGCTCCAGCTTGGTTCAGTCATGGAGGACCTGATGTTGGCAGGGTCACAGTGTCCGGACTATTACACAGGGGCAATGTGTCAGGGTTTAATTTAAAGGTGGGATGGACCCCTGTGAGAAAACTGCTCTGGTGCTGTTCAGGTGTGCAGCCTTCAGTGGGCATCGGCATTGCTCTCGCATGCCGTGGCTGGCGACACATGGTCAACACCGGGCCACTATCGCCTCTTCTCCTTGCCTTGCCAGCAGCCAGGGCCTTTCAGTGTGTGGTTAACGAGGACCTGTGTTCTCCTTCTTTCCCAGGAGGAAGAAAGAAAAGCAGGAAAGCAAATCATCCCTCTGTCAGGCTGCTGGGCCAGAGAAGGACTTTTGCCTTTGGTAAGGAGGAGGGGAGAGTCTGTGTGATTTCTAGCTGCCAAGCTGTCCTCTGTGAGTTGTTGAGCACCTCTGAAGGAGAAGCCTGTGACTGAAGCAGTGACGGACAGCTGAACGCGAAGGCTGACAGATATTTTATGACGGGCTAGTGCCTCTCCCCTCCTTGGCAGACTCTGGACTGAGTTGGCTCTGGCCATATGAAAACCCATAGTACCTTTTTAAATGAGAACTTCCTTCCCCATCCTACTGCCTTCTCCAGCACGTCCAGCCCCACATAGGTGTCCCCTGCTGCCCTCCTTGAAGCCACCGGGGACATTTGCTCTGTAAAGCTACTGGGCCGCTCCAGTTGCTTTCCCATCCCATGGACTTTGGTTACTCAGGTTAAGCTGCAAACCTTTCCTGTGTGCTGCTCCACCCCACTCACCCCAAAGCCAGAGGACTGCTTTAGCAGCCTTTCCCTCCCGTCCAGGTGGTACCCTGGTACCTCTGAGCTGGTGGCCCCTGACCGGGAATAACTGCCAAGGCTCCCTCAGTCCTGGGCTGTAAGAGAAATTCAGAATATGCTTTTTTCTAAGTCCAGGTTGAAGATGATCTTAACACAACCAGTGGATGAAGTCAGCAGGTACCCCAAGTGCAGAAGTTGCCCAGGCGGTTGTGGTAGGAGGGGAAGGAGCTGTAATCGCCGTTAATGCTGCCGACGTATGGTTCAGACCTTTGGTGGGTTCACGGCTCTGGAGCCTCCTCACCTCGGTACCATGGCACTGTGTATCATGGCATCTCACTATGTTTTACTACACTGGCTGCAGGCAAGCAAGTTTCAAATGGGAGCTTCTTTCCTCTGCTTCTGTTATAGAGTAAGACCTTTTTTTTCATTTATGTTTTGGAGCACTGGCAGTTAGGTTAGAGAAGATCGTCATTACTATGAGCAACAGGAGATACGCTTCCTCCAATTTTATATTTAAAGTTCTGTATTCAGGCAAACCAAAGTCTTTTATAATAACCAGGGGAGCACTCATATGAGGCAAGTACTGTTCATGACTAATATAATACAGTCTGTAACACTGGTGAAACCTTTTTTGTAATTTTTTTTTTGAGAGGAAAACCCAAGGGGCCGTGACCAGCAATTTCAAAATTGAAAAAATTTTGTGAAAATTTTTTGAGCAAATTCTGTTAAATCCATCTATTTATAAGCACAGGTCTCCTATATGCAAATATTTTGTGTTTAGTCACCTAGTTGCACCATTTACAGATTTTCTTTCCTCCTAGTATTTCATGCACTTAGTGAACTATTCTGTACCACATAGGTAGAGAGTAAGTTGCTAACTATCAGTTAACATATAAGCAGGTTCTATGGAAGAAAGTATCTCTTGAAGCTATCCAGTTGCTCATAGTTTGATCTGGCAGGACACTTTGAAACACCAATCACTTGCCACATAGCAAAGTTTGATAAACGAGCAGACCCCTGGCATTTAATGGCACTCTGTAATCGATCTGTTGCCTTGCAGGAATACACAAACCTCTTGGTAGGCTTTTCTTGTTGTGAGTCCGAGCTGATTCAGACAGGACATGTAAAATGTTGAATGGGCCAGCAGTAGTTTCAGCATCATTGAATCAAGATGTAATTCTAGTGGGATACTTGGGATTTTAGTATATCACAATGAAGAAAGGCCAGTGCGTTGCATCACATCACAATTTTTACCTTAGTTAGCCTTTCTCCCACCATTCTGAGGCAATGGCATCAAGTAACAAAAAGGATATTGTTTTCCTGGATGAGCTGTGCTGTGTCAGTTCCCTCATCGATCCTAGAGCACCTTGTCCTGGCTAAAGGACCTTCTGTCTTTCCAAGTGATGCTGAGCCTTATCAGTCCGCCTCAAAGGCACTGTTTGTTGCCCCCAGGTACTCTGACTTCTTCTTGTGCTTCATCCACATCTTCCTCAGGAGGCTGGGCGTCCCGCACAGGTTGCCTCCCGTCAGCGGTAGGGAAGCTTCTGCTCCCGGTGGCAGGGTCAGGTCGTACTCTGCCGTCTTCCTCCAGCGCTGCCTGTGGCTGGCAAATAAAGCACAGATGCGTAAAGCATTCATCTCTGTGGCCCTTCTCCTCTGCTTACGACCACTAGCCATTGAAAACCAAGGGCTGCCTGTCTGCAAAGGTATGTCCGTGCCTCGCCTGTCCCTGGGACTGGCAAGTCCGGGGTGAGCAGGGGCTGGGCGAGGCAGTGGGCTTGGACACCGCAGCTGCCCCCTCCCTGCTGCCCCCGCTCCCCTTGGAGCCCCGCATTGACCTGCGATCTGGGTGAACACTCGCACCAGGGGACAGGCTATAAGTGGGACCACTACTCTGTAGCGTTTGCCACTATAGAAAAAGCTGGTAGGTGGTCGTTGACTTGCGATCTGGGTGAACACTCACACCAGGGGATGGGCTACAAGTGGGACCACTACTCTGTAGCATTTGCCACTATAGAAAAAGCTGGTAGGTGGCCTGGGGACAGAGCTGAGCCCTTCCACCAAAGCCCCGGGGACCATGCGGCAGCGCCCAGGCAGCGTGAGCTCCACCTGGCCGAGGGGGCTGCGCTGGCTTACACCGTCTGAGGGGGATTTATGTCTCTGCATACAAAGTGCAAGGACACTGTGACAATGAGCCTGTTACTGTCTTCAGGTGGCAATGGCAACATCTGAAATATCACCTGGATCCGTGTCTGGGTTAACTGTCTACTGATGAATGCATTTCTACTATGGTCAAACTGTTCCTTAATTACACTTAAAGGCAATAAAGCTTTGTTTAAAAAATATTTAATTACATTTTCTAAACTGCCTTAGGGCAAATATTATAGAATTCTTAAGGGGAAAATACTTAAATTTTGAATTTAGATGCTTTTCTTTCTAGTGATAAAACACAGCTGTAACTGGCACCGGGGCAGCTGTTTGAACGGCCATGGCTGACGATATAATCAGCATGTCCTTCAGCCGATCTCTCCCTGCCTTTGGGAAGCAAGCGGCATGGCTTTACTGTAAATCGCTGAGGTTTTACAGCTGCGATTCAGAGGAGATCTGCAGCTGAGCACTTCTTTGTGTTTCTGGTGAGAGTGTGACCTGTGGCGGAGGTGTCCCGTCCCCTTCCCTGCCCGGCAGCGCCCCACACGCAGCCCCCCAGGCTTGGCCGGAGGGGTGGGAAGGGACTTACTCGTCTGTAGGAGTGCCATCACCTGCGGGCGAGTCTGTGACAGCCGCCGCTTTTGCTGTGATATGGGCAACTGGCGATGGTGGGAACTGCGGGAGGAAAAGCATGTCATTAGGAAACGCCACTGATGAGCAGGGACCCCAGGTTCGTCTGAGGAAAGAGGCTGTTTTAGGAAAATGAATAAATACTGTAAATCTCTTAACAGGAGAAAGCAGGCTGGTCAAAGAATTGACTGCCCAACTCCTACCCACACAAATACCGATTGCTCACGTGAACGGTCTCACTGAGCTCAGCACAGGGCTCGTATGAGCAAGAATTACACCTCCCATCGAAGGAGGGAGGCTTGCAGAACTTTTTATTCCCTAGTTTTTATGTCTAGCTTCCCAAGGAGGCGAGGCTTTGTGCAGACTGAGCAGCCTGCCTCTTGCAGCTCTTCACAGGCCACCTCTACCGCTGGCTGGGAAGCAGCTGTCCCAGCCGTCACTGTTTCTTGAGCGTTCAGAAATGTTTCCCCATTTTGCCGGGTGCTGCTCTGTAGCGTGGGGGGCCCTGATTCATGCCCCAGTTCTGCCACGGCCCCACAAGTGCCTAATCATCGACTTCCTCCATGTCTTATTTGATCATAAATTGCCCGCCAGAACTGAGTCACATTTTCCCATAAACAGGCGACTGAGACTGGCATATCCTCCGAGATGGTAAGCTAAAGTGTGGGTTGCCCAGAAATAGAAAAAAATGTCAAAATTGTGATGTGCTGTCATTATTACAGGCAATAAACACACTGACTGATTTTACTGGCAATACTGAAAAATTTCTTTGTGTTATTGTCACTACTATAACTGGTCTCAAGCTGTCTAGGGCTATTTCCCATGGGATTAATCTGAGACTGGATACGTTTAGGTGTGCTCTGCAAGTATCCCAAGACTTAAAGATGTTTGAAATCACTTTTGCAAGCATCCCTTGAAATTTAACCGGGTTAATTATTGGTAGGTGCAATTAGTTTCATTACACTGAACGCCATTAATTTTGACCATCCTTCAATATTGTACAGTCATTTTTCTCGAGTGCAGCCCAGCTACCAGCTAGCAAGTATATTGCAGCCATCCAAAAGAGCATTTGAAGCCATGAAGTTTCTATAGCATGGTCTGGTGTTGGTCAGAAACTTTTCAAAGGACTATTTTCTGTTTGAAAATCTAGTTTTATAAAATGTAGGGACTTTGAAAATTTTTTTTTGGTAAGAAAAAGAAGGAAGGGAAAATGTTTTAGTAAAGCTTAGTCATTTTTAACCACAACATTTTGTCTGTCCATTACAGAACAGATTTTTGGTTTTTGTATGATGATTTGTCTATCAACTCTGTACTGACATTTTTGATTGGTCTGATTATCCTGTCAGGTTGGTATTCTGCAGAATATGAATTATGTGATGCTTGTTCCACTTTAGAAATTAATTTTTCCCCAATTTGTGAAATTCCTTGAGAAACAAGAGGCTAATTCCTCCCAGCTCTTGCAGGTGGCTGAGCATACAGAACGGGAGCCTGCCTGTTTCCATCCCACAACCCTTCCTGGTTCTCCGAGGGGCAGCCATCCTATGGCAGTCTCTGCTCCCAGCTAAGGATCCTCTGGCATAAATCATGTCTCAAAGCCTTAACGAAGACTGTGAAATCTGCACGTACTGTGACAGACTGGCATGCCGTTAATGTGGGACATACTGACAGGTACTAGGTTTTAAGATGCATCAGACAGTGGTAGTTGGTCTTGCTGTATTTACTTACCAGAGATTTTCCATCCAACAGGTGATTACACGACTTGGATGACTCTCGTTCAGTAATTCCCACTGCAAAGCGTAAGAAACATGGCATTTTCGGTAATTATCCCATTGGCACAACTTGTATTAAAAGCCTCCTTCCGTGCAGTTAAACCCAGATATGAACAGAGCCCAGATTCAGGTTATAGTCCCACTAGATTTGGTTACAGCCAAAAGTGCAGAAGTTTCTTTATTATGATTATCTACTGTGATGTCAAAGTAAGCGATTTTGGAATTGCTTAAGTCGTTCTGGAAAGTCACTCAACTGCTTGCTCCTAGACTTTTCAAATGAGATGAACTGTCCTTAGCAGACCAAGATAAGTGGGAGCCCTTCCCCCTCTGTGAACACTCACGTGTACGTATATACAAAGAGCGGTCCCGTCTGCTGCTCCTCAGCAGAGGTTGGGTAACGCAGTTTTTCTGCGTCTTGGAGCCCCCACTGCCAGGTTTGTCCTGCCTAGGAGATCATTCTCCTTTCTGGATTGCCCTGGGGAGTTATTCTTACCTGGGCAGAGATGTGTGCTACATCCACCCCATCACAGGGAGGGGTTCCAACCTTTCCGTCTGCCCGTGGCTGAGTGGCACCTCTCTCTGCTGTCCTCAAACCTGCAGGTTACCTTTCAGTTACAAGTGAGCACTCAGCCAATAACTCATCCATGGATAAATGCTCACTGACATTCCTGCTAGTTGCACCGAGGAAATAAATGAGTGAGGGATGCCAGATTTTTTTCATGGAGCCAAATCCTCCCATTTGGCTGTGGAAATGTGGAGATCTCTTTTTTTTTTTTCTTTTTTTTTTTTTTCCTTTTTTTTTTTTTTTTTTTTTTTTTTTTTTTTTTTTTTTTTTTTTCTTTCTGTTCCTGGCCATTTTCGGTTGTCTGCTGATTTTAAAAGGATATTCAGGTAAGTGAAGACCAAGGACCTACAGAAACACCAAGATTCACCAAGACAGAGGATAGAATATGATTCACAACTGCTGTGACCAATGGAATATAAATAATGACAACAAACATCAGAAATAGCCAAGGTGCTGCTGTCTCCAGCATCAGTTAGCAATCAGAACTGTCGTCTTCTGGGGGCAATACTTGACCATGATAAATAACTTAACCAGCCTCTCTCTTCCCGCTTCCCTCCCCCTCCCCCCAGTAATTCCATTAGGTACCTAACTGTATCCCTCACATCAAAGTTTAATTCAATTACCTCCTCTAATCTTGCATATTAGGCACTAACAATATTCAGCAAGCGGCTCCAGGCATCAGTGCTTCAGCTAATGCCCACATTTTCTCTTTTTCTTTTTTTTGTTTGCTCTTACATTGTCTGATTCTTCCCTTCAGCCTGTCCCTCTTCTTATTAGATATAGAAAATGTTCTGGCCAAGTTTTAGCAAAATACGTAAGCAAAAGTAAGTCCTCATGGCTTCAGGTTCATAAGCGCTCTTCAGGACAGTGGTGGCTGGGTGCGGTGTGAATTTCACTTCCAGAAGGTGCTATGGGTGTCCAGGCCTGGGACAAGGGTTGCTCCACATCTGTTATTCTGACTTGCCCTGTGTTTCCAAGATGAATACTTGTACAAAAACTTGGTACAAAACCAAGTACTTCTTTCCTGGAGAATAAGTGCAATTTTTTTTAATCTATCCATCCTGTGAAGCAAAGCACAGCTTTGAGTGCAGTCAGGGGTTTCTTGTTCTGGCCTTCCATTACACTTACTTGCCTTCCTGCGTGCTGGAATGCACCGTCCTTACGCTTTGATATTTGGGTAGGCCTTCCGATGCTAGCAATAAGTGTGCTGATGCTCTCATCTATGTTCCTGTTTACACATTTTTCGCTTCCTCTGGAAGTTGAACTGTTCGCTCTATGACCCAGATTTCAAGTTGTGCTTTACCAAATCTGAAGTCTCTCTGATATTCAACAGTACTTGTCTATGGAGCAAGCATGGAAAACTCTACAGGCAAAACTATTTCCAGTAAGAAAGTTGAAGGATGTTTTTGAAGCGTGAAATTTATGTGGAGGTCACATTTGTACAGAGATTAATGAAAATAGATGATACATATCCATACATATACCTCACTTCGTATCACATTATGCTGGTCCTTCCTAGACTCTCTCATGGCACCCTGTTCTCTGTGTAGGTATTATTAGTACGGTGCGTACTGAAACCAGACACTGCAGCACATCACAGCAAAGAGCTATTTCTATTTTCATATAAATATTTGCAAACACTTCTACTTTCCTCCCCTTAAAATGCTGAATCTGTAAAGTCAGGCACTCAAAAGTTATGAAATACCAGAACTGGACTGGAAGTTATTTCATCCCCCCAAGGATCTAGAGATTCAGGCTCTTAATTTGTGACCAGAAACCGTTTTTCCACAGACTTTCTGCTTCACTCATATAGACAGCGTTCACTCAGAAAGCAGTTGTTCATCCTTAGCTTTTATTTCTCAGTGCACAGTCCTATTCTTAGTTTCCCCACCAGTGAATCCTCTGAGGACAGAACTATTAATATTTTCACCTGCTTTTCTGTATTACTGATCACTGTGGTCATCATCTGCACAAATGTTCTAAAAACCCAGCTTCGTCACCTCCAGGAGGACAAGGAGTTATGCCAGGGAAGCAGGGGTAGGTACTGAGTTTAAGGTCAGAGGTTCCTGGGATCCAGTTTTTCAGAGGCTTGAGGAGGATGCAGCACTGTTCATAGTCAAAGTGCAGTTTTTAGTGCAGCAGGAACTGAGCGCTCCCGGGTGTTGCAGTTGGAGGTGTGAAGCAGGCACCCAGAAAAGGGGCATACATCAGCTGTGTGAGGTGACGAGCATCACCGAGGAGTCTGGTGGCAGGGATGGACAGACCCTAGGGAGCTATTGCAGGAGACACCCTGCCGTGGTCCCCGAGTACCTTCTGTGCTGGTGGGAACAGGGGTCCGACAAACAACCATGGCGAGGTTGTTGCACAAGCTTAGGCAGCCCTGCAGTAGCTCTCTTGTCTTGTCCAGATGCTCCTGGTGAGTTTGTCCTGTCCTGTTCTCCTCACTCCCTCCTTCCACTCCTCAGTGAGTCCTTTTTTAAAAATTTTTCATTCTAATTTAAACTTAGTTTCTCCCTCTTTCCCGTTCAGCATTCCAGTTTCTTTGCCCAATCGCTTTCCTTTCTCTCCCTACGAGAACTGTTTCCCCCTTTTCTGCTCTTCTTTTTGGATCCCTATATCTTTTCGCACCTACCTGTCATCCTTTACTTTTTGTTGCCCCTAAGAGCAGAGACCAGCAGTCCCTCCTTTCTCCCCCACCGGCTCTCTGCCACACACCACCCCACAGCCGGTCCCAGCCACTCCTCCTCCTCTCCCCCCTCCAGCCCCAAAGCCCCAGCTTTTTGTTCAGCCATTTCTTGTCGCCGGTCCTGGTTTGAGATCTTTCCCTATGGTCCCAAGCTCAGTTTGTTCCTTCCCAGTTTCCCAGGCCCCGTTCTTGTCTGGTCTGTGTTCAAATGGGATGGCTTATGAGCAGTGCGGTTGCAGACTGGTGGTGTGAAGAATGTGCACCTTCATGGTAGTACCTGCTTTACAGATTTAGCACCTTTTAACAGCTAAATGTCCAATGTCTCTACCAAACACGTGTCATATGGGATTTTTTCAAAGGCTTATGACTGACTTACGACTTTTTCAAGGGAGAGCAAAAGATGCGGTTTTGATTAAAAGGCCACCCCTTGCCAAACTGCATGGCCCTGCTCCAGCTTCGACCTTCCAAACAAAACACACCAGCATTGAAGGAGCTGAATGACCCGTCTATTTATGTTTACTCATTTCCTTGGTTTTGCATTGGCAAACTCTATTTTTCCTTCACGGGTTCTCACAAATATGCTGAACAAGTTTTGGTTGAGAAAACAAAATCAGGTCTGTGGCTGACATCCAGAATCTAAAATTTCATCCCAAATAATTATGTTCTGGCAAGTTCTAAGCAGGGATCTTATACAATAAGATGACTCAGGCGAACTCAGTAATATGCAATCTATCATTTCTGAAATATTGTCAGCCTTTGGAAAGGGAGCGTTTATGACTGAATAAAGCGCGTTTATGACTCAGAATAAAGCGAGAGCTCTGCAATGCCATGGTCGTTATCTCATTAATTCCACCGGACATTTTAAGCATGGAAGTATCCTTCAGGTACATAACAAAGCACCTGCTTCACTGCAGACTGGAAGACTGCAGCATCTAAAAGTGTTCTGAAGCCACAGAGGAATAAAGCCACTTTTGTGGACTTACTGTGCTGGGCAGCGCCCTTGGCAGGGCAGGGTCCCCGCTGCCCGCTCTGCAGGCGGCCCAAGCCCCGCACCTCATCTTCGCTGTACAGCATCTGGAGGAGGTCACCCTGGTGGGGCTGCAGCTTCTCCGTCCTGTGGGGCCGATGATCGGACACGGCTACCACCTACAAGGAAGAGGCAAAACCATCCCGTTACACCCGGCCTTGGAGATAAGGTGGTTTGTCAAGGTCACAGGGGAGCAGCATGACGCTTGCTCTTCCCACTGCTTTACTGTCATCCAAAGGGGATTTTGTTGGGTGGGGACTGTCAGATTTGAAGGGTTTGTTTTGTTTGGGTCCTGCCTCTGTGCATGGGATGTATAAAAGTATGGGAAAATCACGTGTGGTCTCTCTGGGACCCAGCTACTTAGTTGCACCTTTCTGTATTCTCCTCAGGAGACTGAAATGTGGTCCTTTTCAAGATCTACTGAATAGGATATGCCTTTGAGACAGCTCAAATTTAATTTCTTATCACATTGTATCTTGGGCAATCAGTTAAACTTACGCAATGTGAATTATAAATGCTATTTCTTCATGGCCTCTCCTGTCTTTTGGACTTATTTGCATTTTATACCTGGTAAATGACTACAGAGGATACAAGGCGGTGAATAATTGTGCTCCTAGAGATTAATTTTCACAAACATTAGCTTGCACAAACGAAACTCACTGAGAGCTGCATCTTTGAACATTAGGCCCCCTTTATCTTGAACGGAGTCCCTGAAAACGATCATGGACAAAATCAAGTTCTTTTCTACATCGATCGCAACTCAGCCATGGCACTCACTGTGCTGCCACAGGCAACTGGGGAGGCCAGAGCTAATGTGAGCTTAAAAAACAGGGATAGGCTCCAAGCAGGTGGATCCATCAGGACGGTTATCCAGGATGGTCCGGAAACAATTTTCTCAAGAAGATTAAAGTCCCAACAGCAGGGAAAGAGTGTTTCATACTTTGTTTTTTCTTATTCTTCTCTGAAGACTTCCTATTGTCACACAGAGAACAAGGGCGAAGATCCAAACCAGCAAGGAAACAAGACACATGGCAAGTATTCCGACTGTTTCCTATTAGATGTACTTATGTTGATCTTATGTTGGAAGACCAGGAGAAAAGCAGTTACTTGCATCTAACTGATGACTGATAGTTGCCATCTATGTGTTTTATATATAAATACAGTTATTTTGTCTCAAGACTGACACCAGCAACTGACCAGTCCGCTATTGGCATAGAAAAAGCCTTAATTCCATCTATTGCTCTGCCTTCTAACATACATTGAAGATAAAAACAAGACCGCATTCAAGCATGTCCCCTCACGCAAAATTGTCCATTTTCTTTAAGTAAGTTTTAATTCAGTTTGCCATTAATCTGCAATATTCTGTGTACGTGAATTTTTACACAGATATAAAACCACATGCAAACCAATGTTTTCCAAAGCAGGAAAAAAGAAACACCCCAACCTGACCACTTTTTACTCTTTTGACTCCATGTACCCTCAGGCGTCTGGAGAAGGCTACATGACCTAGAGACTACTGACCAGCAGGACAAAGAGCAGAAACGGCCCAACAGCAGGCAAAAATACTGCTGGTAAGGGCTGGTGAGGCAACCAAAACCTAATCCAAGACGTAAGAGGGGTTTTCTCTTAGTTCTGTGGATTTTGGCACACAGCCTAACACAGTCCCTGCTCCGTAAGCTACTTAAGGACGTGTCCAGTGTTAAGTTAAAGTCAAAGGGACTACTGGTGTCCTTGAAGACAAGCACGTGCTAAAGGAGGCTGCGGCTGGGGCCCAGCTCTACTGACCACAAATCTGGTGCTGCCAGACAGAGCCGAGCCTCAGCGTCGTTCCGATAATTCAGAAATGAGGGTGATGCTGGTGGTGGGAAGCATCCTGTTGCTGCTTAAGCAGTTGCTGTTGACTCCCTCCCAGCTGCCCCTGGACCAGTTCCAGGACCTCCCCATCCCTCTGCAGCAGCTCCTCGCAGGCTCCCGTGGCCATGCACGGGTGTGCAGCTCACTGCACCACCCTGATCACCCGAACCTTGCAAGCTGCTTACCAGAAGCGTTACCCCCCATCACCACAGCGACATCGGTGGAGACATCTGTCTTCATCACTAATACGATGAGGCGGTGGCTGGCAGGGGTCTCTCATGACAACCCTTGGAGTCTGCCTCACGTGAACCGAGCTCTTCCAGCTGTCAAAGAATGCTACAAAGCTCACCTTTCCCAACAGCTCTGGAAATATGCGCAGTGCTCTTGGTCACACTCAGTTGTCTTTGGTGTGTGACAGAAAATGTCTTCAACCCTCTGCTACTGAGCCACCTGAGGTCACTTCTTTTGCATGGTCATGGAAGGAGCATTTTTGGTAAGTAGGATGCTGGCTGCAGTCGTCTCTATTCCTGAAAGTGGCTGATTTGATCAGTGTAAATCACCACAAACTTGAAACTTAACAATCTGCCTATGCATTGCAAAGGATGAAATTTGGTTTGGGGAAAGGAAGCAGGACTTTAAACTCCATTAATAGGAGTTTATTTAGGCGCGTTGTCTATGTTTTCAAGATTCCTTGTTACATGTCATATCAGTAATGCCAAAATGCCTTCAAGCAGAAGAATCTGTATAAATAAGTTGCAATGCCATTTTCCATTACAGCTGGAGACAACAGCGCAATCTCTATAGCACATTTTCAGTTAATATCTTTCCTTGCAGCATTTGGCTTTAGTACACTTTTGGAGTTTCTTACCTCCTAATTCAAGATTTCACTGTGACTTTGGCTACCTCACCCATTACTGTAATATGTAAAGACTTATCTAGGTCAGGAAACTAAACCTGCTGTAGCGCAGTTTTGATCTAAACTGGAGCTGACATTTCTCTAGGGTACCTAGGGTAAGGCAGAAGGATCAGCTGGAAGTCACTTTTCTTTTCTAGATGTACCAGGGAATTTAAATCTGTGTGAATGGCAGTCAGCCAAACTATGCAGAATTAGTAAACTGCTCTCTAAATAACTACTGTTTTTAGAACCTGTAAGTCCCTTGACCAGCTCAGTCTGTTTGCAGGATGCCAACTGTGAATTCAGAGCTCAGGAAAGTCTCTTTTTTGTGGATTTTACCACCTGGCATACCCACTGTTGGAATTAGCTGTGTTGAACAGGGAGCACGGAGGATGCAGGAGGGTTGCAGAGCGGTGCAGAGGGTGTTCCAACAACCCAGCCAGTGCTCCTCGACCCAAAATCCCACCGCCAAACCAACAACCGACCAGAAAAAGTGACAATTAAACATCTGGCTTTGGATAAAACTTTGAAGCTTAGAGGCCGAACAACGAAGTGCTTGTTAGTGGAGGAAATGCCAGATTTGTAGAGTTAAGCTCTTTTTGATGGTCTAATGCTGATACAATTTTTAATGTGGCAGCACTAGCATGCACAGAGGGATTTGCCATTTTTCTGCAAAGTAGCCAGGTACTGGTGTCCAGACAGTTCTACCCAAAGGATTTTGGGGCTAGAAGAGCAAGGAAAGAGAAGGGAAAGATCTGCTATCACTGGAAATAACTCTTAATAGGGCAATAGGAACTGCAAATAAGCATACTGGTGAAACAGTCAAAAAAAAGGTGTTTCCCTCTTTCTCTCACCCTTCCACATTCATGATTGTGCTTTTGGGATGGGTTCTTGAATGTGATGGAAGTTACCCCCCAAGGTCAGTCATTTGAATGTTAAATCACTTAATGCTACACTGCTTGAGTATTTCTGCCATGAAAAAAAGGTCTGGCAGATGTCCACGTTGCTTGCTATTTTTGCCCTTGCCAAGAATTAAAGTTGTGCATCCACTGCAATCACCAGAGCAGAAGATTTCATGTTAGCTGAGGCCTTTCTACAGCACTGACTGCAGGTGCAGCGGTAAAAGTGAGAAATAAATAATCATTCTGCTACTTTTCTGTGGGTCTAGAAATTGGCAATCACAACTTCCTCACAGGCATGTATATTCCAGTACGCGATTTATTTGCATGCTTGCGCATGAGCTGTAAGCAGCTGCATCATACTGAAGAAGGGGAATGCACAAGCCTAAGAGCTGACTGTGCCAATTGCTTTGGTTTGAGAGCCTGGCTTGTTTTCTTAGCTGGAGCTGCAGACCATTCCTCAGGCTCTGTGCTCCAACTGCTAATATGGTGCTGCCTGCACCATGACTAAGGGCCAATCAAAGGACGTCTTTAATCGGGGTCAGGAAAGCCCCAAAGGAAAAAAAAATCCTCTAAAAATACAGCAACAAAACAGGGACTTTCTTATCTTATTTTCTTAGACCTTTATGAGTATAGCGCTGCTACAGCAGCTGATCCAATCCAAATCAAATATTAGAGGCTCCCACTCAATAGAAACAACAACTATCTGCTGAGATTTGGAACATCATAACAGACATACAGTTGCCCTAGATTTCAATGAGAGCTAGCTGAAAAATTTCCAGCTGACTAGTTTTATGAGAAAATTCTGGTTAGAAGAAATCTGGGCATTTTGTTGGAAAAGTATCTATTTTGTCAAAAAATTGAGGGAGAAATTATCTGAGCATTCTGTTTTATTAAGTCGGAATAGTTCACTTTGGTTTGGACTTTTCTGCTCTTTTTCCATTATGGGACAAACAAAATATACCAAAGGCATAAAAATAAAAAAGGAGTATCTCAAAATGGCTGATTTTGAGTAACACTCCGACAATGACTTTCATCCTCATTTGGAATGAAAAGTCATTTTGAAACCTCAGCCTGAGTTACGGGACAAAAATAAGATATTTCACAATTTGAGAAAATACACAGATACATAGTTTTTACTCAGACACCACAGGCGTGTTATTGGCCCTTCCTGGGGGCCACTTCAGGCATCCTGTGAAGTGTTGGGATCCTGCGATACGCTTTAATAATCAAGAGAGGGGATGGGAGTAAACGTGGCGAGTTTTTTCCCCGTGCACGGGTAAGTGTGGTAAGCAGGAGGGACCTACGGTGCTGTGGGGAGATTAGGGAATCAGGAATATGAAGAGAAGGCTAGTTACAAACGAAGATGGGGCTGGGAAGTAGGATAGGGCATGGAAAAGGAAAGACCATGGAGCAAAATATTTCATCAAAGTGCTAGAGAAGAGACAGGTCTGTAGTGAGAAGAAATGCTTTGGCAGAAGAGTCTCAAAGCTTGTAAAAAGTGCTTTGATATGCACAAGAGAAAGAGGCTGTCATTCCTGCAAGTCAGAACTGTGATAAAAGGATCGTGGAAGGGGTTGTGAATGGGCCAAGTGGATTTAAGGAGGGAAAACTGGCTCTGAAGACAAGAAACCTCAAGCCCGAACCAATGTGTCAAAGTGTCCAAACTTGGAAAACCTTTTCTCAGAGCATGAAAAATGTTCAGTTCTTTTACTGTTGCTGTTATTATTATTTATTTAGTCATAATAATTGGGGGCAAAAATGTTTACAGACCTATTGAAGAGAACTGCGGGGAACAAGAGTCCCCCATACAGCGAAGGGAAAATGGGGAGGGAGGAGAAAAAAAGCTGAGACTGCGCAGCACAGCGCTGCAGGCGAGAGGGCTGTGCTGGGTGGTGGGGCTGGGCACGGCTGGGTGGGAAGGAAAGGACCATGCCCGTGCCCAGCTGCAAGCCGCCACCCTGCTCTTTAGCTGCAGGTCGACCCCGTGCCGTTCGGCTGGGCTCCTTTGCACGAGGGCCGTGAAAATGGCTCGTGCCCCAGCAGCAGCTGTGGGACAGCAAAGGGGGGACAAGCTCTTCTTTGGGGCTGCGCACACCTTGCCTTCGTGATTAAAAATATCGAACAACTTACTGAGAGAGGGCTCAGTTGTTAGTTTTTCTCTGCATTTGTGAAGGGCAGGCAGAGTAGAAAATGGAGTCAGGGATGCTGCCAGTTGGGAGCTTGGCTTATTGAATTTGGGGGGGGCACCTCACCTGCAGGGAGTGGGGAAAACTCCGGCTGTGCCCTCTGTGCCGGTGCACCAGGGGTGAGCCGAGGACAGGCAAGAGCCGCTGGGATCAAGTCACAAGCATCCTCCTGTGGCTCTCTCAGAGCCATCTTTTTGAGTCGAGGTTACAGTCCATTGCTGGGTGGTTTTATCCCAAATTCCCTGGGGAATGTGATACTGGCTCCTTGATTAATGCATGTATGTATTGATATGATTTGTCTGCTTTTCATTCCTGCATGTCCCTCTGGCACTATTATTAGGGCTTTATGGATAAGAATTAAATCTGTGATTCCCTCAGATGACCCGTGTTGATAAGCTGTTATGTTCATTTTGACTGGCTCTGCACAGACAGACTGTATTTTTTGAAGTTTCAAAGCGCTTCTGTAGATAAACTGTAGCTTTACAGAAACTCCCCTTTCTGTTTCCCACCTCACTCACTGCATCAGACACCGATGCACTTCTTTGCCCTGAAAGATCTGCTTCCCATTTATGCATGACATTTTTAAGGACAAATGTAGCCAACTAGAATTAAAAAAAAAAAGGGGGGAGAGAAAAGGAGATATTTTTCTTACACTCTTTGTTAGGATGTGCTGCGTACTTTTGGCTCGTCTTCGGGCAGGACTACATGCTGCAAAAAGAAGAACAGGAACATGGTCAGGGTGCAGTGGAGGCGGACAAGATGAGGCTACACATGCCTCTAAAAGTCCTCCGTGAGAATACATTGGGGGCATGGGGGGGGAGGGGGGAGAAAGGGTTGAAGGAGGATTCCAGCTGAAACAAACCAAAAGAAAGTCCTTTTTAATGTCATCTCAGAGACCATGCTCTAGCTATACAATACAGACATCCGTGGGCACAGGGCAACAGCCTTCCCCAAGTTTCTGTACCTCTCCCATAGGCTTCCAGGAGGAACCGTCCTTCCCCTTTCTGAGTTTTGATCTGGCCTCCCACCTGCCAAAGTTTCACAAGGAAATGAGCTTCTCTTTCCATCCAGTCACCTTCAAACATGACTAGTGTATACATTAACTTTGGAGAGGCCTATAATTTTATCTAGATAGGGACTTCTTCAATAAGCTCGAACTGCTTCGTGACATCGTTTCAGTTTTACTGCATGATGTCCAAAGCACAACATTTGCACTAAGCCTAGTCTTTACTTTTTCAATCCTCAAAATGCCCCGTTAGGTTCCTTAACTTGGGGCATTTTGCTTAAAGTCTCTTTCTCAATTTTATTTCTTAAACCCATGAAGACACCAAAATCATAAGCAAACCAGAATCGCTAGCCACTGGACACACAAGATGCCAGGACCATAAGCCAAGCTTTTGACTGGACTGAAGCGATTGGTTTTGGGTGGGGCTTTTTTTGGACAAAGTGAAGATTGTTTCAACACTTGTTGTTTCAGTTTGACTTGAAACTGGCCTGAAAAACTCAGTGATACTCCCACCTCTCTCTCTCATCATGTCTTACCCTTTGCCCTTTAAAATTATTGCTCTTCCACGTGTTCAGGATACAGGAGTCATGACTACAGGATTTAGCAGCCGGTGACAGAAACAGGCCTGTAAAAACCTGCCAAATTTGGAGAATTAATTCCAATTCTAAAGGCTGACCCTGAGGGCAAGGCAGGTGAATGGGGGTTTCCTATTCAGGCTCCGCATATAGTCCAAAGGCTTTGACGAGCCAGGAAGGTTTGTTATGGGATGACAGGTGACTCTTGCTCTCCAGGTAAGCTTTCCTTTAAATTTTTGGCATACATTCAACTCCAGGAGTTGCAGTGCTTGTCGTTGCTACGTGCTAATGTTTGCAGAGAGTTTTGAAGCTGTGGAAGCAGCTGGAGTTCACTCAAGGCTGCTCATTTCTGCAGCCAAACTCCTCTCCTCTGATGGCAGGAACAACAAGTGACCAGGCTTTCCAGGGCTCTGGTACAAGCAGAGCTGGCAGTGGGACCAAAGCTACTCTTCCTAGACAGCTTGTGTGTGTCTAAAAGCCACCCCTCGACACCCCAGTGAGGATATAAGTGCTGAGCATTAGGACCCCACTGGCTAGAAATAAAGTTTCGGCCGATGCTCTGCCCACAGTGAAACAGGACAGTAACACGGGAGGTGATAAATCTTGCCCAGGGTCCCTGCCAGCGACCCGTTGCAGCACAGGGTACTTCCACACCGAACTCATCACAAGTAAGTTATCTGCCTGTATAGAGCTTGAGAGTGTGCTAAGCTGTCAGTTTGATTACAGTCTGTTTTGCACGGCGTGGTATCCTCAGGGATCCCTACTGCCTTCTCCTGCAGGACACGTTTTATATTTTAAACCATGGTGAGTGTGGGATGAAAACCAGACAAACATAATGGAGGTGGGGTTTTTTCCTAGGAATATGTTGTAACTTGCTTATGAAGCTGCTGCAATCACCTTTCCTTCTGGAATTTCATCGTGTGAGGACTAAACTAATTGCTCACAAACAAAACACTCAAGTGCAGAAAGTTTAGTGATGCAAGGAATCATCTTCATGTCTCTCTGGTATTGTATGTATTTTACTGGACAGTGTGAGGAGCACAGTTTATATGGATTTCTACCAGAAGCAAGTACCGCTGTGCTGTTATTGGTACCCAGGCTGGTGCACAAGGAGCAACACATAAATGTGCCCAGGTGATAAATTTGCATATTTTCAGAGTACGTTATGATCCACAGTCCAACTCTCTGCCTGTCGTCTGCCAGCACGAGTGGCAAATGGCTTACAGGGGCTGAAGAAAGGCAAGGCATGAAAGGCAAGTCACAGCACCAGCAAACATGCAATTACTTGAATAGCCACTGAATGAAGAATGAATCACGGAGGTAGCCAGAAGTGACCCACTTGCGCGGGAACACAATGGCAGCAATGCAAACAGTGGGGCTGCGGGGCTCTGCCTGCAAACATGATTTTCTGCAGGGAGTGGGAGCAGGAAGGGAAGAATGAATCCTTGCAGATGATGTTGCTGGGTTTGCCTGCAAAAGGTTGTTTGTATGTACAGACCAGCTTTTGGGCAACAAAACCAATTACAGTGATGGTTCACTTTGTCATTTCCACTTATATTCTGAAATTAAGCAGCTGAGAGCTCATGCTCGCAGCTTGCAAGTAAAGATCTGATCTGGCCCCACAATTTGTTTTCCCTGCTTTTACCTGCTTTCTTTTTCTTGTTGCTGAAGTATGCAGCTATTGAGTTTAAACTAATTTGTTCAATCAAATGCAGACTGGGCTTTGTCCGGTTCTTACTCTTCATTACAAGCAATTAATGTTAATCATGCATTCATTTCCAGGGCATGGCTTTGGAAATGTTCCACTTATTGAGCCAGCAGACTTAAATCCAACATTCATGCAGTTCACCCGGTTCATCTGAGCTGCTAACTGCTCGCAGAACTTCATTTTCTTTTCTATTCCACAGAATAGCCACACAGTTGCAAGCTGTCACTTTAGCAATTACCTCATAGGTATATCAACACCGATTCCAGATCTCCCAATTTTGCCAGTGCAAAGATTTTACACAGCCACAGTGTCGAGGCACCTGCACAGATTAGCTCCATAAACAAGCGGCGAGCGCTGGACTGCAAGCAGAGCACAGCACGGCAGAACAGATGAGCTGCTCGCTTCAGAGATTTCCCCGACGCTAAACATCCCATCCATCTAAAAGACAACACCGTAGCAGTTGTTACAGTTTTGATGTACTCACATTTGGATGAAATCACAGTGGTGAAAACTTCTAAATTTTCGTCGCTGCAGCTGTAAATCTGGTGCATTTTCCACCTCTCCCTCCTGACTGCCTTTCAGCTTCATGCAACCGCTCTGAACTTCTGGTAAATAGGTTTCACTAATCCAATCTGGCTCTGTGATCATTGTCCAGATCTACAAAGGACAGACTGATGCTGTGATCTCATCTCATTCCATATTCTTCATTGCAACATTTTCTGCTCCCATCTGCCTTTCTATGAATACTATTAATGCAAAGATTTAATTTAGCTGTTACTTAACCCTCTATTCAGATAGGAACATTTTATTTTATGTCTCCTTTTACCAGTTTGGAGAATCCTCTACAATAAATGGCTAATAATTAAAGTCTCTTCTGTGCAGCCAATGTATAGGCAAATAAACGTTTACAGAAGTACTGCAAGGATTTTTAAAATAAGTTGGGTTAATACTTGGTGTACTTTAACACATTTATCATAAAAATTTGCTCCTCCCATATAATGAGGAGCTGATTCTAGGTGTATTAAGAAAAGCATTTTGTGCTTTACCTTTTGAGTTCATAAACTAGTGCCTGAATCCTGGGCACTTCAGTGTAAAATTTCAAATGCGGATGACTAAAGAAGGGCACGTCAGGCAGACGTCCATAGTTCTATATCCCCCTACACTTCAGTGGCTGCAGAGGGAGGGCAGGTGGCTCAGTCATAGATGAGTTCCTACATGACTTGATGGTTCTGGGGCCTAATTCCGTATTTATGCACTTCAATAAAGGGTCTTCTTGCCAAAGCTTTTCATTCCTTAATGCTCCCATCAGAAATTGTTCCTTTCCACATCTACGAAAATCAGCCCCCTCAACTTCTGGTGACTTACTGCTGCCATGGACACCTAAGATAGAAAATTTTGGCTTGCAGGCTCCAGCAACTGATGTAGCAGAAACACTTTCAAGTGTGAATAATGATATTAAATTATATCAGTCTAATGAATAGCCTTCATTACTAGCACGTGTGTGTAATTGACACAAAAACTAGTGCTGTCTTCTCCTATAGACGTCTGCCACCAACAGTCCCAGACGGAAAGCGACAGCAAACAGGGGCTGTCACTGTCATATTCATGTAACGTTTCTTAGTTGAAATAATAAATATTGGTCAAATACGCATCCTGAGCCTGGAAGCATTTTGGTTGAGTGGAAGGTGTCACTGTTCCAAGAAAGAAACGAGTGAAGAGAAGCTGGTATCACTTGTCACCTCCCAGGGCAGCCTCCTGCTGTCCAGGGGCAGCAAAGCCATTGCGGGGCTGGAGGCATTGTCCCAGGAAACCGTGCCGTGTTTGAAACGGGCGGTGGGACGGCAATATAATCAAGCAAAAGTTCAATTAGTTTTTGATTTATTACGCCACATGTTCTGCTTGTATGACTGATGTCATTAACATCAGGCTCGGCTGGCGTGTTCATCTGTCCTTGCCTGGCTCCCTCTGAAGGCGCACACGCTCAACAGATGGGGAGCTGCACGGGCGCGAATGCAATTGTTTATCGCCCTATTGTTCCTGTGTCAAGCAATCAAACCAAATCCATTACCCACCGAGAAAAAGATCAGCGCACCGTCCATTCAGCAGTGAATGGAGCAGAGGCGGTTATGCAGGGAGGCTTTAAAGCTTTCAAAAGGATAAAAAAAATAATGAAGAGCAACACTGAATAGTTGGCCAAAAAAAAAAAAGCTATAACAAATCTAACCCACCCTTTATTTCACCTTTGGATATTCAGAGTCCTATGAGAAGAGGCACTTTTAGATCTGAGTCATTGTTTTCCTAGTTATAGGTATGACATAAAGATATTTTAAAATCATAGCTGGGGTTTAACATTAGAACAAATATTTGGTGTTTCATCATGTTGAGGGGTGGTGCGGATGCGGAAACTGAAGTGAGACTCAAGAGCTGGTTACCAGCTGGCATTCACTGCGTTATAGGCTAGGTTTTGAGCAGGTAGGCTTTGAACACCTATCTTCGCAAGGGACATGATGCTCTGGGGATGAGTCACTCTGTGCAGAGAGCTGACAAAAGGCTCTCCCATCACTTCCATAGAAAAACAGGGCTCGGGAGGGCCAATATAATCTGTCTCATCTGGGAATGAGTTTTCCCCTGTTCATGAAAGGGAGTTTGCTGCTTCATTCTGCCCAGATCTTACAGGGTAGTCGAGCACTATATATGCCCAGGGTTTTGCAGGAAATCTTAACGTGGCTTCAAGAGAAGGACTGCACATATTGGGCTACTTTTTTCTAGCTGTCCGTGAGTTATTTTGGACAAATGTCTTGGTTTATCTAGCTACAAAATAGGTGTGATAACACCTGCCAAGGAAGTGTACTATAAAGCTCAACTGCATGCAACCTGCTGAAGAACAGCAGGCAGTAATTTTAGACTTGAGGAAGATGCTCTCCATGATCTCCAACCTAGGAACTGCTTGCAGAGCCACACCAGATGATTTCACACAGTCTGTCCCTCTGGCTCCCTACTGACCTAGCAAGAGTTCAGTCTGTGGTGGGAGCAGGAAACCAAATGTTTATTGATCCTATGAATCCTTTTTTTATTCCCCAAATTGAATAAAATATCTAGAAAATAGGCTCAAATTTTTCCTCACTGCTAAACACAATCAATAAGCTATTAATTTAATTCACATGGTGCCACTGCAGCCATAAGAAGACCAAAAAAGTTTTTGCACCGGGGTGTATCTTTGACTGAAGACTCCCAAGCCAACACGTGGAATCCAAGTGCCTCACTGTGAGCTGTGATATAGCTGTTTACCAAATACCTGAACTCCCAGTGTTGTCAGTAAAGCATCAAAACGTTTGCTGATGCAAGAACTTGGCGACCAAAGGTGAACGGGGACAACTGAGGAGGAGGAGGAGGAGGAGGAGGAGGAGGAGGAGGAGGAGGAGGAGGAGGAGGAGGAGGAGGAGGAGGAGGAGGAGGAGGAGGAGGAGGAGGAGGAGGAGGAGGAGGAGGAGGAGGAGGAGGAGGAGGAGGAGGAGGAGGAGGAGGAGGAGGAGGAGGAGGAGGAGGAGGAGGAGGAGGAGGAGGAGGAGGAGGAGGAGGAGGAGAACTCAGGAACTCAGGACACAAGAACAGACATACGGTGTCTGACAAAACATCCATCTAACCTGATCTGCAGGTCTGGGACAGGGAAGGTATTTGATTTTTTGGAATGTGGGTAGAAAGGAGGGAAAGGTGGAGAAGGGGAAGAGCCGTATGCTGAGGCTGAGGTAAAAACAACTGGTGAAAACAGCAGAAGGCTCAGCGAACCTTGTGAACGTGGCAGAAAATCCCAGAAACTGGCGAAATGTCTCTCTGGGGAGGTGGCGAGGGTGCTTTTCCCATCTGTTCAGCCAGATTTGGAAGAAAGAAGTGTAGATGCTTGTCCTGTTTACCAAGTATGCCAGAGTTTGTAAACTTAAAAGGAATCAAATAAAAAAAAATTAATTATGGTTACAAAAACTGTAATAAAACCTGAGTTATTTCAGATAAGTATCAGAAACCTCTAGAACTTTTTTATCCTGGCCTTTGTAAACAAATGAATGCTTTTCCAGCGCAGCATTTTCTTCCAGTGAGGTTGGTGGGAAGCATCCCGGTACTCTCAGCATATGCGAGGGATATTGCCAAGGGATTCCCTGGCCAGCAGAGGACAGAGCTCTTCCCAAGGCAGGTCTCTGGCTTCTCTCTGGATCTTGTACCCTGTTGCGTAAGAGGCGAATCTAATCCGTACTGAGCCACTTGAGCCTATTTCTTACTGTTAGCTGGGCAATATGATAAGGATAAACCCCAAGTATTTTTGGAATAGGATTGTGAACCAGAGGTATGCACAGTTAACCATTTAAAAATAAGACGGGACAAAACTGCACATGCATGCTGCAGACATTTATTCTAAAACACTTCTGTGTGATGCAATGCAAGTGGCATTTTTTGTGGAAGGCAAATCGCTTTGTTTCATTTTAGGGCCACAGAATTGCAGCTGCCAATGACTGAAAAGGAAAACCAACAAAAAAAGCAAAATATAAAGTGAGCTTCTCGTACATAATCTGTTATTTTTCTCTAAGTGAAAGGAAGAGAGAGACAGATATGCTATCAACAACTTCACCTCATACCCATAGCAGTCTGAAAAACTAGTCAAAAATTAAAGTAGCACTGCATGGCTGAAAGGTCTGTGAATAAGTGAAGCATTTTCAAAAGCAACATTTTAATTTGCATCTGGCTGGAAGCCGCTGTAACAGATTTTACCCAAATGGGAATAAGATCAAGGCATTTAAAAAACATTCTGAACTTTAAATTCACTATAGGGGACCAGGAGAGAGGGATGCAAGTGTCGTGCAGTTTGAAAGGGCTACTGCTCAGACTTCTCTGCTAATCAGGAAAGGAAATACCAGCCAGACCTGGAAGCCAGGCCGAAAGCATCCCCCCGCTAGTTACAGAAAGATACTGCGGGATCCGGAGGGAAAAAAACCCCAAGCCTGGTTGGCTCCTCTTAAAAAAGTTACATATAGATAATTGGACATTCACAAATTTGCCCTAAGCTTGTAAAACACACTTGAGTAAGTCCATACAATGATTAGCGAGGAGCACAATGCCCAGCACTGCAAGGTTCAAGTCCCGCAGAGCTTGTGCCAGCAGCAGGGATTGCACTGAGCCAGCATTAAAGCTAGGGCCAGGCTGAGCACGTGGAGGCTTAACAAGCTTTCAAACACTGGTCATGTACTGGTAATCCACAGAAAGCATTAAAAATGTCAACAAAAGAGCGATATGTCCAAATTGGGCTGTGACAACAACAGCTTATTAAGATGCCGAACTTTAATTACATTTGCCCTTGATTAATTAATTTTTCAAGCTAATTGATCAGTGAGGTCTTTATTCCCCTGATAAAGCACAATCATTTTTGAATGGGGCTTTTTCACTCCCATTTTTTTCCTTTAAAACATTTTAAGATTATTTTGACTATTGGCTCCTGATGTGAACATAACCATTTTTGGACAAACAAGCACGTTAATTAAAGCTTGTCCTGTGGTTCCTGGATTTG